GAGAGTCTTCGGGTCACGCAATGTTAGCTTAGCGGAGTTCTGCATGGAAATGTTCAATGGCGGTAAGTGACGACAACAACACTATTTTAATTTTATTTTCAGGATAGAAGCACAGTTTTAGTCAGATAGAACTATTGATATTTGAGAGGGCAGAATTTCTCATCTATAAAAGCCAACTGTAGGTTTATTTGGTCAAGTGACCGCCAAGAGCAAGAATTGCGTGACAGATGTAGTTGAGAAAAACTTGTCACAGTCGTAGATTTTAAAAGGCATCCAAGACAAAAATACGGTAGTGTCCTAAGATTTTTTTAAAGATTTTCAGAGATGAAATAATGGGTTATAAAGGGTCATTAAGATGTTGTAGCTTTCTGGCAACGGGAGATATTTGACCTCAAAGTTGTCAAATATTTGGATGAATCGAAAAGTCTAAAACACAGTCGTATATTTGCCTCTGTTGATTGACAAGCCGTCGATCAAATTGACTGATGCTTGCGGCGGACATTAACTAAGGATGTAAAAATATGTGTGCAAACCCTCAGAGTAATTGGTTAAATACCCTCGCAGTGAGAGCTTCATACATTTTACTTATTTTGAGTTTTGGGGTAGACCCCTTAAACTGGCAAAGTTTCATTGAAATCGGTGAGATAGCATGTAGCACGACTGCCCGGTGCTCTCGTGGACACGCTACTAATCTATTGCGTGACAGTTGCGGAACTGTGTCACGCAACTATTGGAAAAAAGGAAAATAGATTTTTTTTAAATGCAAATATCTCCAATGCGCAACATTATACGCAGACGAACATACCATAACAGGAAAGACCTATCTTGGGAATATTTTTGTGGACAAAATCCTTTTTGGCCCTAGCGAAAGATTCGTGATCACGTCCCTTTGAAATACGTGACCTTTTACGATAATTTTTGCAATTATTGGTCAAAAACTGATGAATATTCACTCAATTTCAATTTGTGAATGGAATAGTTGACGTAAGTCGTTGTGTAACTTACGTCTAAAAACAACAGATTTGTAGCTGCCGAGCTAAGGAGTCGCTTATTAAAGAAACTATGTAACGCTGGAAAAATGATTCATAAATGATTGCGGTATATATTACAAATTAAACATTACCGAATTGAGTAATGGACGTCAGAAGTTGACAACGACGTTTGCCAAATGCAATTTACACAAATAAAACACTCTATACATCTTTTACAACTATACTCAATTCAATGCGTCATAATTTGTTTTTCCTGTGGGGAGCTTTGAAGACTTCGGCATCGAATTTTAAGTACTAATTGAGAAAGTTTTCCAGTTACATTTTACTGTAATTTAAAATTATATGAAACTCTGCAGTAAAGCTTAGGCGAAAGGCGAGAATTGCAGCGTTCGATTCCTCATGAAGTCTATAGGTTTTTTAATTGTTTTTTTTTGTCGGCCAACGTTGATGACAGGAATAAAAGGCATTGAATAAATGTTTGGTTTGTGCACCTCAATCGTGCCAGTTCCAGGCGCTCTCCCTCTTTATAGCCTTCTAGCAGGTCCTCGTTACCAATGCCTTAGCAAAGCAAGGTGGCGAGAGGTCTGAAAGAGAGCTGAGTATTAGTGCCAGACCCCCAGCAAAATTCTTTGTCTCGTCTCAAATCTTCTCGCGGGCGGAGAAATTAACGTGCGTCCTGCAGCGATAAGAATGAGAGCTTGATCCAAGCTCGCCCTCTTTATGGGTCCTGTTCAGTGAATGTGACGTTGACAAAGGCTGAATCTAGTTTAGACGATGAAGCGTTATTTTCTGTTTGTAACATCAAACCTGTATCCGTGTTGATATCCCAGTTCAGAAATCAGGCAGAAAGATAAGCGTTTGGTAAACGCTTACTTCCGAGGCTAATCCCGATGTAAATTACCTCTGCTCTGTAAAAGCAGTAATTATTTAAAACTTTACATTATTTTTATTTGTGTGGTTTCGTTTCGATACAACATCAAATTCTCATAACCAGTTAACTTAGAAATGTGTGGATATCAGTTGAAAAATCCGCTTTCAGAGGAAGAGAATGAAGAGGCTTACCAGCTACAAGAGCTAAAAACTATCGATTAAGGTAAAAACGAATCTGCTCGGAACAGAGTACGTGTCAGATGGACTGTAATCAGTGTCTAATCGTTTCATGGTTGCATTTTTTATAGGGTTTTGAGCACTTAATTTATCATAGCTATCTCTATCTAAAGGCCGCGTCAGTGGGAAAGGATTTATTTTTTTTCATTTTGGATAGTTTGGTCAAACGAAATTCGCATATTTACACTGATAAGATGAAAATTAAATGAAACCTGATCCAAGGTACTGAAAGTTCATTATTAAAGTTATGTCTTTGCAAATGCATTGAAAATTAACCAGTCGCAATGGCGTTGATTGGTGTGATTATTACATACACGCTATTAATTTATCACATTTTGAGTCATAAATATTTCTAACAATTAGGTCTTAGCTCCCCCCATCCCTCCAAAATATCTTTCTTTTTGTTACTTATGCAATAGAAAATTGAGCATAAACTGTGAGGACGAAGAAAAAAAAGTATTCAAGTCCTGTTTCTGTTTTATCCGCAAGAAATTTGACACTTTCTGATTCAAGTTGACAATGCGTATCACCGTGTTCATGAATTAAAACCTGATTGTTTTCATCTTCACGTATGTACACACACGCTAATCTTCATTTTGTGACTTCACGCTGATTCCAGTGAATACTCAAATCGATCTTAAAATGGCACCATATTCAATTATGCAAATTTTTTCGAGTAATGAAAAGAGCGATAATCGTAATGTTTTCCATCGTATAATATCAGCCATATCAACCACATTTACGTCTAATAACCACAGTGTAAGAATAGCTAAAATTTTGATAAATAAGAGAAAACCGCGAAAGTTTTCAATACTTCCAAATTAGCCGTTTGCAATATCAGGAAATGAAAATATCTTTTTGCCAACCATTGATAATTTGCGTCCTATTTTGTTTTGTTTTTTTTTTTTTCTGTTAAGTAATTATTTTTTGTTGGATCTTTTTTCACAAGATTTCTAATTGAATATTTTTATCACCCTCTCTATAAATTCTAGTTATTTTCTGCACACAAAAAAAGTACATATCAATATTTCGCTTCAATGCCAAAATAAAATTTTGACAAAGCTGCTTCATGTGCGAAGTCGCTTACTGAAGTGTCTGTTTGCGCAACGTATTTGAATATTCCATTGAATCGAAATCTGATACGAATTCACTTTGTTCAACGTAAGCTTGCATAGATAAGACTTTTTTTTTTCCGTCGGAAAATAATTTTTTTTGACCAGATACACCTTGTAAAGGCTGATTGAAAAATTTAAAGCCTAATACTCGTAGCTCGTAGATATTACTTGCTTTTGTATTGAAGACTTATTTTCTCCTCTTGAAATAAAGGCTTGTTTTGATCATGACCATTAGGTTTTTGCAGGAAAATCGTGTATACAAGTAAACTTCCCGCAGCTCTTTTTCGCTTTTTTTAGGCGTTGAATTTCTAAGATTTATTGAGCTATTCACAGCAGGATGATCTTATGTAGACCCCCATTTTGGTTGGCATTTACTATTTTTATACATCATACTTTCAACAAAAAATAATTTGTTAAAATAAGTACAGCTGCCTATTTAAGGATATCTTCCTCCAATTGAAAACAGATAGACAAGTCGAAGCAATCAAGGAGGAATTTGTTCTCAAGATCGGTTTGAGCTAACTGAGTAACCCCCTCTGATAACAATATTACGCAAACAAAAAACAAATTGGCTATATGATAATTTATTCATAACGGCCTTTTAAGACGAACATGATAACACAATACGAGCGGCTTCAATCTGCTACTGACTGTCAATAAGATTAACCTCTACATCGAACTAGAAAATTGACAGAGAGCAATTCAAACTCGGCTAATATGTCGCATATCGCCGCAATAAACGGAAGCGATTACTTCGCAACTTTTCAAAGGATTTTAGAAACGCGTTCGACTGGTCTGGCTGCTGTAGAAGCCGGGTTCTTCGTGACGATCAATTTTACGGCGTTGTTCGGTAACTTCCTCCTTTGCACAGTTCTGCTAAAGGATTCATCTTTTCGCAGTATTACAAACATATTGATATTAACTCTTTGCGTGGCTGATATTCTAATGGGAGCAGTTTGTATGCCTCTCTCGTGCGGTGTTCTTATACAAGGAAAATGGATCTATGGTGATATTGCATGTCGACTTCAATGCTTTTTCATCTACTTCTTAGCTTTCGTTTCCCTTCAGACCATCGTGTTAACATCACTTAACAGATTTTTCAAAGTGGTTAAGCCACGAAGATACCGGCGCATTTTCACAATGAAAAAGACAGTGGCCACATTGACTATACTTTGGCTGATAACCGCACTTATACTGGCTATTCCTTTGGCCACTGGAGCCTTTAGTGCTACGTTTAACCCTGCAAAAGCTGCTTGTGTGATTTTTAAAAGAGGTGTTGAGATGGAGCAGAATAGCTATCCAGGTATTTTAAGAGGGCTGCTACTGCTATTCTTCGCAGTTATTCCTTCAATTGTTATATTTACTTGTTATTATAAGATATTTCGGGTTGTTGGGGAGCATTTTACGCGAGTCGCGCCAAATCTTCATAGGATAAACAGAAGAAGAAGCTCTCGATTAAATTCGCAAGAAATGCGGACTACAATTACATTGTTTGCCGTGGTCGTTATGTTCTTCCTAAGCTGGCTTCCCGTATTTTTAATCGAGATTACCCAAGCGTTTTTCATCAATTGGTGGAGAATTCCCCGTGAAGTTCAACTCATGTGGACATTTTTTGGCAGTTTCAGCAGCGCTGCGAACCCTCTAGTATATGGCTTTGCAAATTCATCTTATCGACGCGAATACAAAAAGTTGTTAACCCTTAAATGGAAAAAAAAATCCAAAGGAAGAAGGGACAATGAAGTAAGCAAAAGTCCATCAGTTGCGATGGCAACTTTAAATCTCCCGTCATGAATTCTTGTTCTTTTATTCGTGAAGGGGGTATTTAGAATCAATTTGAAAAATGAGCACATGCTAATGTACCGCTGTATACACAGACATTATCAACAAACCTAAATGTAAACATTCAATAAAAACAGCTACTTAGAAGTCAGATTTTAATTAATTTTTTAAATGATTGTGAAGTTTTTTTTTTTTTTTTTTAACTATTACTTAATTTACAATTAAAGAAGAACATATTTCTATAGCTATAAATTGTATTTTTTTTAATATTGTAATGGAAATATGTTGTTACAATTTGGATGAAATTCAGTGTCAAATCACCGGGTTCTCGTTTTCTTGTGAGTGGAAAAACCACTCGTATTTGGGGTAGAAATAAAGAAGCTAAAGATTAACAATCAAAGAAAATATATATATATATATTTTTTTTTTTTTTTTACTTCTCACGAGCAAAAACTAACATATAAGTAGCCGTATGACTTTCATGTTATTCTCCTTTCTAATCTCTCGACAATTTATTTGAAATAAAATGAAGAGACTTTTCCCTACTCTCAGTAAGATTATACCCTCTAGCCGATTGTTGGTCAATTCTCATCTCCTGATGGCAAAATAACGTGTTAGAATTGTAGAGAGATCTTACTTGTTAATTGCCTCTGCCAGGAGTGAGCGCTTCCGAGAGATTAATCAGGCCAACCGCTGAAATCAAAATTTTGATATAGTCCCGACATGTAATACTCTTTGCCTAAATTGACATGACTTTTTAGTCTGTTCAAAAATACACCTGAAACCCAAGTGTTACATTCAAGAACGTACTAAACAACCTCTGAGATTGTCAAAGCGAAGTCTGAGTCGCAAAACGAATGGAGGGGGCTAAGAGTAGGAGTCATTAATTCTCAAGCAATATAGTCACCTTAGAAAAATAATCGAATATATTTGACCATCGACATTTTAGGCTTGAGAAGGAACCGCATCCTTACATCAAATTTACAATCGATTGCCGAAGAGAGGTTCAACATTGAAAGTATTTCCTTAGAAGTGGAGAAAACAACCAGTGGATTAAAAAAAAAACACCTCTTAAACTCTTTTCTTAGGAGACTTTCAGACTCTAGAAGTTTTATTCGCTTGGCACTTGTGAAAACTTGTCATTAGGAGGTTGGATTATATGTTTGGGCTTTATGAACAGATTACACTGTCTTGGGACGTAGACAATAACATCTCAAGGCGATTGGTTCCGTTTTTGACAAAGCACTTGTTAACTGAAACAAAATAGGTTGATTATTAAGACCAGAAGTTGACTATGAAGTAAACATTCTGCGGTAACGAATCTTCCTTAGAAGCTCAGGCTGACATCCACGTGTTAAGGGTCTCATGGTAATAAGGTTTAAGATATGGCGACAATAAGTCGAGACTGTGTTCTGTCTGATTGAATTGAGGGTGATAGGAACAAGACTTTCTATGGCGCGCCACACGTAAATAAGCATAACAATAAGCATAACAAAACAGCATGCCGCGGAGATCATTTTATTAACAGCCACGCTTTCACTCAATCAATTGGATATAAAAATGCTATATGTCCAAGTTAATAAACTGAGTTTACAAAAAACATTAAACAAAAAAAGCTGATAACAAACAAATTATTACTAGGATGATTCAGGGAAAAAAAATGAAAACAAAAACAAAGAAAGTGTTTATATCAATATTTCACCTTGGGAACCAGAAATTCAGGGCCCAATTGTTCGAGGGCCGATTAGCGCTAACCCGGGGTTAAGTTTTAACCTGGGTTTCTTTATTCCCCTCTTCAAAGGCCTATTTCACATAATTTCTTCAATTCCTTTTAGAACATTCAGGCATCAAATTGTAGGAAAAAAATTTAAGCTGAATATTCTTTTAAAGCTTTCAGATATGAGGTCAGATTTCACGCTAACCCTGGGTTATCTTAACCTAGCTCTGAACAACTTGGCCCATACGAGGGAAGTCTGAGGAATTTTGGGGATTACATAGTTATCCGAGGGGGAGCAGAGTGGGATCAGTTGTCGCCAACAGAGGATAAAGGAGGACTATAAAAATTTGGCCGCCTATTAATTGCCGATAAGGAAGGATCGCAATAAAATTATAAAGCCTTATGACGGGATCAGGTATATTTTATCGTTACACAAACAAAAATTTTCTGATCGCTTTCCCGGGAAATGAGTTGTGACCTTCCCTAAGCTTTAAATAAGTGGTGAAAAACACCGTTAGTCTTTAAAGAAGTAATCCAAATTGCTTCAAAATTTAATTACCGAATCGATAATATCACGAGATAACGTGAGTGCTCCAAAAGCATTTTTTTAGAATGCTGTATGCGTAAAAATAACATTTCTGTCACAACACCCATACCTAAACTATGAGCTCGTTTAAATCTTAAAAGGCCAAATATGTCGCTTAACTTGCCAATATAAAATATATACAGAATTTAAATCGTATAAAGCTGCTCTACTTAGTCTAGAAAATATTATAAAAACCACAGTCCACTTAGTCGAGTACAGAAATTGCAAACTTACTTTGACCTAAATATTACGATATTTCTAAAATATGCTAAAGTGCCCTCACGTTGAATTTAACGTATCAGCGAGAGAATATGATCTTTTAGGTTTTGCATTCTTCTTAAGATGATTAGCCTTAGGAAATAACTTTAAACTTTACTTCCCACGTTCTTCGTCTTTCAAACCGTTGAACTACTTAAATGATTCACTTTTACCTTTAATGTGAAACTCTGATAGAACAACTTTAAAGTACGATCGGCTTTCGCGACGCTGTCACTCGAAGGTTTAATGAAACTTCTTTACGAGAAGATTCTTCACTTCACGTTTACTTCTTCTTCACCTTCACTTTCTTCCAGGTTCGGCTGCTCGTTCCCTTTGGAGAAATCTGGGAAAACCTTTTGCAACAGCATTTCATGAAGTCTTCGCATATGTGAATATCTAGACTCTGTTTGATTAACGTAGTGCAAAGGCCCCAGATTTGTTGAAGATGGCGTTTGTTTAAAATGGCTGTCGTCATCACTAGTAGACAACCAATACAACAGCTGTTGAAGATCCTCATCTTTCCATGACGTACGACTTCTATTTGTCTCATGATTTGCTCTCACAGTCTTAACGAGGCTCTTTTGATTATTTTTCACTGCACCACCGATATCACTTTTCTTACCCCGAGTAACTTCTTCCTCATTGGCCACCCCACTGGCATCGTATTTCCCATCAAAATCGACCTCGCTTTGGTGTGCAGAGACAGAGACACTCGAGATTCCGCGGGTAACAACAGGGCGATGTCCTGAGTAAGAGCTATCCTCGCCACTGCTTTCCCATCCGGACGTACCAGACTGATGGCTACTACTTGGCTCAGATCCACTGAAAGCTTCTCCTGAGGACCAATCATTTTCTGTCGTCTGAGGGAAAACATATTTGGTAGATGTTGAAAAGAAATCCTCGCCGTCTTGTTTAATGGCTTGTTCATTCGCCATTGCTTTATTATTTTGGTTAAACGAATTTGTTCCACTATAAAAAGCACTTCCGGAATAAGTAGCTTCCTTGTCACCAGAAAAGGTTATTACCTTGTCAACATCCCTTTCTATGCCATATTCGGCTTCTCCTCCAAATTCACGACGTCCTCCGTTTTCAACAGTGTTCCCATTACTGGAGCCACTTAAAATAATGGGCGTGTTCCAATTGCTCCCAAATGAACTTGCTTTATCAGAACTTTTGATTCCGTCTGCCCGTTGCAGTCCGCCGTCAGCTATAACTTTCTCCGGATCATCTCCTGAGCTTTCACCATACGCATCAAACTCCGGTCTATCAAAGTCACCGCCATTCGGAATGGATTCCTCTAAGCCACTCGAGGAGCCAAGAAAAGATCCATCTGCCTCTAGTCCATTTGCACCGAAACCTGAGATTGAATCTATCCACACTTTGTTACCCGTACCTGACGTTAAAAAAGCACCGCCGTTTCTCGTATTTGCGGTGTACTTTACACTACTTTTATTCGAGTGTCCTTCATTTGATGTTGCGTTATTTGCAACGTCCCCACTGCCTCTCACTCTGTCACCATCTTGTCCGCTTCCTTCAATACTACTGTGCTTTGGGTATGCTTTAAATATTGTTAATGAATTTCGTATCGGTTTTCCTTTATCCGGGATTTTTCCAGTACAGTTGGTGGTCACATTTGGAAGGCGCATTGCTGAAAAGCCTTGAGGATCTTCGTCAGATTGAGGAGCGATATGGGTAGGTGGCACATTCAATGAATAGTTATGTTCATTTTCATTTATACTTGCAGATTCATGAGCACTACTTGAATTACATATATTGTTAGTCAAATTTAGTTTGATATCCTGTTCTTCTCCATAGCTTCCTAAGGGAATTTTTTCTTTGAACGTAGCATTTTGAATTAAAATCCTAGAATCATTTGATTTTCCGCTTTCTGAGAAACTTGTGGCCCCATGAGCAGATGTGTTCTCGTCCAAGTGATTAACATTCAACGTATTCCATTCGCGGGAATGTAATGTACCCTTCAAGAGACCGTCCCTTGAGTTACCTTCGGCATTTTGTTTAGCAAAGTTTCTGAGTTTCCCATCTTTTTTCAGCTTATGACGTAAAATAGGCGTCCTTGCATGGTGTCGATGTTTCTCATGATACTTTGCCTTAGGCTGAGTGAAAATCCTCCTTATTTTAACTCGGTTAAATTTTTTTCCTCTCCATCTCTTTAATTTTTTTGACTTAGTCCTTTGAATGTGGCGATTTTTTTCACTTCCATGCGAATATTTATCAGAAGCATCACTATGGAGCCTCAATCTCGCACGAAGCTTCTCCTTTCGATGATTAACTATGAGATGCTTCAGTTCTTCTGTCATTGAGATATCTATTCTTGGCCTTTTGTGGTTATGTCTGTTTGATTTAAATGACAATTTTTGATGCTTTCGTTTCCCCCAAGTGTGAGAAAACGTAATGTGAGGCTCGTGCTTCTTCAATGCGCCAAATCCATACTGAAATACGTTTATCCAGTGTTGTTTCTTTTTGTGGTGGAATCTTGTCTTTTGATGTTTTCGGTGGGCCTTGACAACTTTTTTGCTAATCTTCTGGATTGTTTTTACCTTCCTTGATTTCTTAAGTTTGTGGGCGCTCAAGCGATTTTCATGTGGTTTCGATGTATTTTTCTTCGTCTTTTTTCGTGCCTTATCCTTTCGCCTTTGCTTTAGTCGTTCAGTTTTACTCTCTTTCGGCTTAACTATGTGTTCGGACTTTCCTTCACCCTTTTTATGCAGTTTTGTTTGATTGTTATCAAGGTTCGCTTTAAGTTTATTTTCCTTCCCCTTTCTTTCCATAGACATCAAGTTTTTCGCCTTTACTTTCTGGGCCGTGCCTTCACTGCCTGCAGGATGTATACCCGATTCAGACTTTGATTCCACATTGATCCTCGCTCCTTCCTTTGTTAGTTTTCCCGAGAGAGGATGCGCAAAGGGAAAAATACATCTGCACGATCTGAAGTTACAACTAGTGGAGCAATGGGATCCCCTGGGGCAACAATGCCAACTATCTGGGCAACGTGCTGCATCAGGCGCCATACAACATCCGTAACCAGTCAAGGAGAGCAGGTCCTCGCAACACGTGGTCCGTGCCGGGCATCTGGTCACCATATCCGGGCAAAACGAAGTATCATCATGCAGATAAGCACTTGCTAGCCCTGAAATGAAACTCTTGTTGTCAGCCAAGAATAACTAAACGAGATGATAACTGAAGGCCTAATTAGTGTTTCAACGCGGTCAGGATACTTTCCCAAGAAATACAACATCCCTCCGAACAATACACGTCTCTAAATTCTTACCTTCTCTCGTCGACAGTTCTGGGGCTTTGGGAGGAGAGAGCTGGCCTAGGATACAATTTTGAGAATAACTATCTCGTAAAATAAACGCTGCATGCCTTAAAAAAAGAAAAGGGAATTTCAAGAAACTGCTCATTCTTACAAACCTCGGGGTTTCGCTCTAGATAAAAGGCTCCGAAAAGCAGCACCAACTCTGACTCCAAGGATGTGACTTCCTTTGGGATTAAAGTGCTTCAAGCAAAAAATTAAGAAAAAAAATAAATGTCATTTTGATGACAGTTTTATCCATAAGAGGGTCTAAAAGGCGGGGAAATTAACTCTGCCAAAGAACCACGTCAAAATAAACCATTATCTTGCCTTTATCCGTTTATAGTTAAAGAAATAATAATTGTGTTTTCGATACTTGGATGAAAAAAAAACTAAGAGATATGAGTTTTTCATGCCCTTTTAAATCAAGATTGGTCGATATTAGTAGTCGCAATCAATTTACTTTTGATTTCAGTTCGTATAAATATAACTTTTTTATTGATTTTGTGATTCAAAAAATTGATAATAACTATCTAGATCTCGTAAACTCAACACTGCATGCCTTACAAAAAAGGAAAGGGAATTTCAAGAAACCGCTGCCCGCTTAATAGCAGTCCTTTGAAATTTTATTACTGACTAGTTGAAACAAAAAAGAGTACTTTGGCGGGTGATCATGAAAAATTCATTACCACGTCCCGAGGTTGTTTCATGATACTGCAAGTATCATAAGGTGGCTCTCCACACACTTTGATGACAGCAGCATGAAGATCTATAATATCCACTCTCGGGCCCTCTTCCATGATTCTACAAACACAGAAAGAGTCAAGTCATATGATTTAAACTATGCAATGAGACTATTGCTACTTCTCTTGAATGAGGTTTTTGTTTCTAACTTCCGGTATTCATTTGTACTCCTACTTGAAGTCAACCATTGTGAGAGTAAAGTGTGTTGTAAAATGACCTTGCCATGAAACACCGCTTTTTTCATATAATTTAATTACCAACAGAAGGTTCATTCAGAGATCAAAACTATGTAAATGTCTGTCAGACTAACTGGCTGATAGAACGTTTTTATGACATTTTACAATTTTATACAGTAACCGATAATTCAAATTGCAATTCAACAGTGTTTCAATTAAATATATTGAAGTTCAAATGAGGCCAAGAAATAAGAATAACAAACAAACTGCGCTTAGAAACTAAGCACTGGGAGCGCGGATCATTCTGATTGGCTTTTTGTCGAACGGGGACAAACCAACTACGTGCGAAGTAATAGCGATAATCTGTACATCTGTCCTCGTTAAACGAAGGCAAATCAAAGATTAAAAATGTACCTTACAGCCTCTTTGTTGTACGCAATGACTCTTTTGTTCCTCCGTCCAGCGATTGGAACAGGCGTTGTGAGAGCAAAGGCTACCTGAGCTCCTCTTTGAAGGATGATATTTTTAATTTTCCTGAGGTTTTGGCCATATTCTTCTAGTGGGACGAATTCCTAAAGAAAAATAAAATTTGGCTGGAGTGAGCAATGTTGTTTAGTCGCATTCTCTCATATCAACAAACCTCCAATAAATTGTCGGAACTCAACTTCAGCAAAGAAAAAAAATATTTGTAATATAAAACGAAAACTGCACAGAAAGAGCTGAATAAAATAATACCTACATACCTCTGGAAACAACTTGCTATAATCGATGTCGTGCATTCCAAAATTGAAAACAACTGCATCGTAATGGGTTGGTTCCAGCGACGTGGTACTAAGCATCATGGACAGGCACTGTAAGCCGTATCTGGAGTCAACAGCCCCAGACCCCTTAGCAAACGGCGCGTGCTGAACTTGACATAAACCTTTGAGTTGACCTTTTACCGTTGTGAGATATCTAAAATGAGAGAAATCCAGAGGGTACTATAAAAATTGAAATAAATAAATTGAAAGAGGGGCAGTAGTAGTAAGTAAAGATGCTACTGGAATATCTGCATCAAGTTTTCATTTTAAATTCATAATGAACGTATGACTGCAATAGACTTCTATTAGCCTTAAAAAAAAAATGATTGAATAAAGTTTGTTCAAGCCCCACTATCGCCTCCAATTGGTGAGTAATTGGAAGCGATAGTTGTCATGAAATTATCAAACTTTTGTGAGCTGTTGAATATATCATACTTCATATCTACCCGAGAGAAATTGAGTCCCCAATGATGAGACAGTTCCTGAACAATGGATTGACACCCAAAGGTGGGCCGGGGCTACATACCCTCAATGCATCACGCACTTCCATACTTACGGATGGCCTGATGAGTTGAAAAAACAACAACAACAATTAAGATACATAAAGATCTTCACAACTTCTGATAGAGGACCAGTGGGTGAACGGGGAAAGCAAACTGTATTTTAGGGTGGCACACTTGCACACTCTACCAAAAAGCTTTATTTTCTTCTAATCTCTGATCGAAAACTTGAGAGATTATAACTCGTTTGTTCAGTCAGAAGTAAAAATGATAGTACTCCACAGTGGAGGGCAATCAATGGCTTCCAATCGTAAAAATTTGTCGGTCACTGAGAAAAAAATCTCAGTATGTATGAAATAGGATATCATACCGTGAAAATGCGATGCGGCAAAAAAAAAAAAAAAACTCACTTGTTCGCTGCGCTCACTCGTTTTTTTTTTTTTTTTGCTTTGTTTTGTTTTGTATTGTTTTGTTTTGTTTTTTCTATTGCATCATAGCTCGAGAGTGAAAATCACTTTCCATGGAATAATCTCTATATATCCTACTTCTTAGAGCGTGGATCGGGGAGCTAGATCAAAGTCATCAAATAAGTCTCTATCTCTCTTAGTAAATGAATGACAAAAATAATTACAATAACAATTTAAATTTTCTTGCTTATGTCTATACCACACAAGAAAAATCCAGTTTTCTTTTTTTGTATGCGTGTAAGGGTTTGATGTGGTATTTATTGCACTTGACCGTCTTAAAGGACTGCTTCTTTTTCATTATGAAAGCAAAACTTACCCAAAGCGCTCAAGTGGTTATAGAAAGGGAATATAATAAGAGTGACAATAGTGCCAAGTAGTCGTGTAGGTGAGCTGGAAAGGACTGTTCTCGGTGCCTGTTGATCTTTTTGGATGAATGAATTAGGGAACAATTTTACTTACTTAGAATCCTTATAAGAATTGATTCGAGGAGCCACTGATTGTGTCTGGGTTGTTGAGAGCGATATCCTTGGCTGGGGTACTACTTTAGGTGCCCCAATCGGATTGGTAACTAAGGGGGGTACCCGATATGGGCCTAATTGTTGTGCTTGAAGAGGAGGCTGGGTAGGTACTTGCTGAGGTAACTGTGGTGCGACTACTTGGGAAGGTGCTTGAGTTACTGTTTGGGGCCAAGAATTGTAATCAGGGGGCCATGTTGGGGTATCCTCCACAGGAAATCCATCCCAGTCATAATCTGAGCCGTCATAAATGTCTTGTCGCTGTAACAAGATTTAAACTTGGATCTCAAAAAATCGGTATTGAAAAGAGATATGACAAAGAGCTATATAAAGATTTTCCTCCATCTATCACTCTTTTTTCCTTTTGTTTTTCTTTGTTTGCTTGTTTGTTTTTGATTGGTTTGTTTGCTTTGTTTTGTGTTTAGCGTCCTTTGTATTAACTTATCCTAACCTGGCCAAATTACAGTTCCAAGGACACAACATTTCCAAACGATGAACGCGTAAATTCTGATCGAAGCCGAGTGATTGAAACTAAACTTATACAGAGCCTCTCTAAACAGGATTATCAACGAGTATCAAGAAATCTTCAAGGCAAACCTGACTGAATATTCCATGTGATTTTTCAAAGACGGAAAAGCATTCCACCCGGATACTTTAGCCAGGTTTCAATTACAGAAATAATAGTATGCTTCGGTAGTTATGAGAGTCAGAGTTACCTTGGCGACACCAGAAACGTTGTTAAAATTACGTTAAAACGTGAGTCCTTTACAATCAATCTGAGCGAAACTCCTTGATAAGTTGATGCAATGGTTTTTCCTGTTCAATATCAGTGTATGAGCGACTGCGCACCTACCCCTCCCATAACACAATATTGACTCTAACGCATTACTAGTTGACTGGTGCTAGTTTAGATGAGGGTTAGGTGTGCAGTTTCTTAACACTGCTTGACAGTAAGCCGTTTTCCTTGCCACCCTTGTACAAAATTCGCGGCAAGGACCACTCGACCAATCAAAGGAAATCGCAGGTACTACCTGCTTTCTGCTTGAGCGGGTAAATATAAATTAATTTCATAACGATTGCTGAGTTTCAATCGTTATACGAAGCTTTTTTCGCCGTGGTCTTTTGAACCTACCTGGATTGAGTATCACATAACTTTAGAATTGAAGTCAGATTTCAATCCGTGAAAATAACACACAACCTTGGCTTGGGAGGTCTAATTTTTAATCATTGTCCTTCAATTTTTTCGTCACGCAAAAATGATATCCAAGCTACCTCCCTGCTCTCAGAGAATTGGGGAAAGGAACAGGAATGATCAGGTTATGGTCTAATTACAACATTTTTCCAGAAAAAAAAAACCGGTCAAGTAAGAACCTGAAAAGCGAGGAATACACTATGGGCATCCTTTGATATCCACCTGACGTCTTGAACTTACATAAATTTTGCAGCATTCTTCTCATAGACTGGGAACAAATCTCAAAGAAAAAAATCAATAGTACTAATGTTTCCCCTATAAAAAGCACGTGAAGAGATTTGCTTGCTTCGTTAAACTTTTTCGACGATTCCGTACAAAACTAAAGAAATACTTGCAACTAAGGTAAAATCGCCCGATAATAGATTCAAAATACGCTAGCAACGATAAACAACGAAGTTAGTAAGTTTCATCTTCGCTTTTTTTCTTTTCTGTTAACCAAACACCCTCATCCTCCACCCCTGCAAAACATACATCGAGCCTGGCTAATGTAAAAACAAAAGCCTCATCAATCCAGTTCTCTGCGTTTGCAAAAATATTCAAGCTACCCGCCAAGAGTTCGCTGACTCGTGGAATTAGTCTCTCTCAGAAAATAATTTATTCTCTTTACAAGGTTATAAGTTCTAGCATGAATGCACACATTTCCGTTTTGTGTTTTGTGTTTTGGTTTCTGTTTTGACAAATACAGACAGGCCTACTCCAAACGCTATTCCTAAAACAATAAACTGCTCTCGAAAACTATAGCATTTTGGTACAATTACAAAATAAAGCTGAACACCTCACATCTCCCAATTCTTACCCGCCTTGTCTTGCTCCACTTGTTTGACCTTATGTAGGAAAATGCCATCGAATTCACCTTCGGATTCCACGAACTATTCCTCCGAAGATATCGGGAGTATAATGCATTCCTCCCAGAATTTCGTGCAGGAAAATAGTTTCGCCACTGGCCTCTGTATGCCGTCCTATCTTGTGTAAAAGCGCATGTGGATGAAAACCATAACAAACCAACCAGGCGTAAAACAGAAGACCCGCCGAGCATTTCTAGTCATTTTCCGAGCAAATATCTCCTGCTTTTCCCAATCAGTCTATCTGCCCATCTTCTCCGTCATCTCTCATTTCGTTGGAAAAACATCCAGACCAGGGCTCAAAATCAAAGGTTCCCGGCGAGAAAACAATCACAGCATTGTACCATAATAGAATCGAACGCTTATTCAATAGGTGGCAATCACCGTTTACAATGAAATGACGTGATGCCTGATTCTGACGAAATATCGATTTAAGGTGATTCTTGAAAGCGAAGCAAATTCTTTGATTTGTGAAAATGCAAAGCACGCCTTAAAGAAGCATGACCTATAATGGATGGTTTGTAATTTAACACTGCAAACACGCAAATGAGTGCATAGTTAGTGAGTTGCTATGTCGTGCATAAAATAACTTCAAGAATCGTGTGAATTTTAGTTAACTAGCTTGAACTAAACCTAATCTGGAAAGTGTTCGGTGTGCAAGATAGCACCAAATTAATTGAACCATGGAAGGCACTCTTCGTGTTTTCGAAGATGAAAGTCAAAGCTAGTTTGACTAAATGTCTCTAGAAAAACAACCAAGTTAAGAGGGCGAAAAATTATGTCATTTGACCCTGTTGGTAACTGACAGGTACAAGATCAAATGTTTTTCTCACAGAGAATTCATGTCCATGATGAAATCTTCCAGAATCCTTTTATTGTGCAAAAAAATCGGAAAAAATAATTTCTTAGAACTTGTAAAAAAATATTAACCGACACTATTGAAAACAAGAACGAAAGAATATACAAATATATTGCAGGTCCTTAATGAGCATTTAAGCACTATGTGCACGAACAATAAATTCCATGCCATCTTATGACAGAACCTAGCCAAGCATTTCTCTCAGACATTTTTTAACAATGACCCTGGGAAGGGCGAAAGCGTCTAAACTCTGACTTCAAGCATAATCTCCCAGTATAAAATTTTGTTGTTATTTCTATGCATTGTTATCAACGATCTACCTATGATTTTCAAGAAGTAACAGGTACTGATCAGCAAAACAGGCTCTTCTCAAGCAGTGTGTTTGTTTGGATTTAAACAGCGAAAAATTAGCCTCTTCAAATAAAGCCGCTAACCGGTCTTACCGGGGAAGGGGAACAACCCTGTCATTGAATCGTACAGACAATTTCCCAAATAACCATCGCGCGATCTTCTGTTCCAACAAGAGGGCGCGAGTGTTTGTGTGGAAGATTTCCTCTGCATCGGGTTGCGATGAGAGTGGACTGTGGACTCCTTTGTCGAAAGATGAAAAGTTTTTAACTATTGATAACCTGATCTTAGAAAAACGAGACTGCAGATGGGGACCAGTAAAAGTAACATGATTTTCAGAAAAAAAGAGATAAACATCTGCGTTCTCAAAGCTTTACATAGTTTTTTTGCAAATGAAAGAGTTGCTAGGCGAACTGGGATCATGGCGATCTCAACATTAATTTCTCTCTCCCTCGCCAATGATATTATATTAAATGTGTTGCACCTCTTTGGCATAACAAATGAAGCTCAGGAGTTCGGATCTGTATATACCTCAGTTTCCATTACTATGACATACTAACCAAGCGCGAAGAAAAAAGTTAATGGACAATGGCTGAGGTCCTTTTTTTCTTTTTCTTTTTCCTTTTTCTTAAGAGAACTGTGACAAATGCGAGGTCATTGGAGACGCAAACAAAGGCTTGGTTCATAACATATCTAATGTGTAGTCGAACAAAATTACTTTGTGCAGGACGTAGCGAGCTGTGCCGAGTGGATTCGTCCTGCCAGAAGAATCCGCAAAACAGCTCTGTTATTTCATTTTTCACTTTCGGCACGGAACCGGCAAGAGTCTTTAAAAATGTTACGGCTACACCAGAGTTGTTTATTTCCAATGCCAGCTGGTTGGTGGGGGTAACAAATATTTCTTGGTTTATCGTTATTTATCGAAAATAATTTACTTGACTGTTACTTTATTCGATCAATGGCAGCTTCTTCCACTGGAAGGGTTGGGGAAAGGGAGAGTAATTCGTAAGTTTAGGGAAATTTTGATCGTTCAGGTGGTAACACACATGATGCCACGTGACAAATGACGATGGCGAGGTGAGGCTGGCGTAGACATTTTTTTTATGGAGTTCAGAAAAGTTAAGACGTTCACCCAAAAAGCAGCAAGCTTTGTATCATAACAATTCTCGCCCTTACTCAGAGTAAAGTGAAGTATCGACAACTAAAAAAAATAAACAATAAAAGCGACATCATTGTAAACTCGTAGATGAACTGTTTTGATCAGTGATCTTACTCAGGTTGCTAAATAAACTTGAGGCCCGCCACGGTTATACGGTCGCAGATTTAGGTGAGCATTTGAAAATCAATACGCAAAATTACTCGCTTTCATGGTAAGTTTCTTGACGTGTGATGAAGTTACTTAATGTCAACTCCTCGTGCAGCTGGTCGTTATTTCTTTTTCTTTTCTCTCATTTTATTTTCAGCTAATGCTTTAAGGTAAGAGACTGATTATTTTCTGGATATGACTAAAAATCCTGCTGAACTAATGGCTTTGATGACATTAAATTTTCGCTAGCTATGTGAGCCTCTATTCTACCATTGAATATATAGCGGCAGGAACCGTTATTCTGATTTAAAAATATCCCATAAGGTCAAAATTGATTAGCCTGATAAATATATCCTAAACGTGATGGTAGAATATTTTTGTCCAATGTTTCCTTTCAAGAAAGCATTTTGGAGTCCAAGCATTGTTAAAATATCGGATGGTTTCTAAGGGATGCTTCTGAATGAAAAGGACAATTAATGGAGTGTGCAAGAAAATAGCTCATCTATTGAAAGCTTAAAGTAAATTAGATTCTTCATGCAATTTTTCACCTCAAGATGTTTCAGTTTTTAATTTTGATGTATATATTACTCTAAGAGAGGATAGTGAATAAAGCCTATTGCACTGTGGTAGCTGCAAATGCTATGTGATTTTTTTTCCTTCCTATTTACGTAAATAGTTTCGATGAAATTTTTTGGTTGTGACAGCTTGCAAAATATGAAACAAGCATCAATTTGGTAAGACAGTTCTTTTATTTATATAGCTCTAACTGTGAGTGTAAGCCAATTCCTTTGTCCAAACGTAGTGAAAAAAGGACAATTTGTCCTTTTGTTTGCCAGATGTTGACTAGGGGTGAATTATTTATTCCCAACATAATGCAGGCGCGGTCGACTTAAAGCTTTAAATGGTTTTGGAGAATAACAGGGAAATATCTACAATCGTGTTCTCTTAGAAAAATGACTGATTTCTGTGGCCAAATACGGTCACACGATGTAACAGGAGTAAGGTAGGAATAATTATTCAATATTTAAAGTTAAATTTCGGTGCAGTAGTTTTGCCGATAGATGTTAAACCGCTAATTCTGTCGAACGAGAACTCTCTTGCTACGGCTCCGTCACGAACATGGTTTAGCCTGAGGTGGTTTGACCAAAATAGCCAGCGTTTGTTCTTCCTTCTTTGAGGGAATATGGGCCGAGATTTCGCGGCACAAATGATGTGTGTCTGTTAGAGTCGAAGTTTCAGTAGCTGAAAATTGAAAGTGTCAGAAAACAAATTGTAATTCAACGTATGGCGAGCATTTTATTTTGTCCTGACCGCTAATACTTATAGGGTAGTCAGGGAACGAAAACTGCTGAAAAATTTTCCGTTATAGATGAAAAAAGACACCTTCCTATTAAAAATTTCAGTCTCTCATTCAATAGGGGAAGAGGGTAAAACAGAATATGTAACAAGAAACACCTTGACTCGCAATTTGCGTTCCAGAAAACAAAACAGGTGCGGTAGGAGACTTATTAAAGACCTCGGAGAACGCCTAACTATGAATGAAACGGATAGGAATAGATTTAACAAAGTGAGGAACTTCGTCCCAATCCATTTGTCACATCTGCCTCGCCCAGTAAATGATTTCGAACGAAAAACATCGCGAAATCGCAAATTAGAATGTATTTAAAAGTTCGGTGAAGGCAAATGTAACAAAAAAACAGAACAAAACAAAAACCTTGTAAATGCCATTACATTTTTCTTATCCACATTGTATCTAAAAAAAACATCTCGAAACTGCTCTTTCTACAGTTTATTTTTATATAATTAGTGGGAGGAAAAAAGTTTTTTTTTTTTTAGTCCCAAACACAATATAGTCTGGGATTTATTGCTTTCATAGAAAAATGAAGCAAAATAGTGATGATAAAAACCTTGAAAATTTTCAATTTTTTGAACTTTGTTTTTGGTTTTAGAACTTTGACATAATATTCATTATATCATTCATAACGGTTCAGATTCACATAAAAAAGCAAAAAAATAACAAAAATAATAACAACAATATCCTACCAACGTGGAAAAATAAATACACACAGAGTAATTATAATGAGGCAGATATCGACAGAAATATTTCCCGAATTTATGTTAGTATTCTGATAAGGAACAGGCCAGTTAGAAAGAGCGTTGAAGTCAGCTTATTAGTGAGAGGCTAATTGACTGCACTTGAGGGCCGGCTTGTGATTTACCAATTCTTAAACGGAACCCTTTAGAACAAACGCAGAGGCAATTTTAAAAAACCAAACAAAACGAAACGAAACAAACCAAACTTATCCACTTAAGATCAGCACAGGACGGGGGCATTTTTACAAATATCAACAGCGTTTATTGAGGCTTTCTGTCTCTCATTGCAGAATTCTGTCGAATAGATTCCCGAGGGTGATATGCTATAGTCACAGATATGGCTGGAGCTACTCCTTTTATCTGTCAGTATGAATAAGTGTAGGATATTGCGGGGTCGTGAATTCAGAAATCGGCTACGATAAAAAGATAAAAGCTTTCAACCACAAAGTTCCATTAATTCATATTAAGGCTGGTTTGCAATTGATTAGAAAGTGAATGACAAACACGTGTGTTTTTCAATAAGCTATTCACCATCTCATATGTAACTTGCACCCATGGAATAATTTGTAACTAATCGCTGTATGAACAGATGAACACCTTCTATTACACTTATGTATAGTTACTCTGATGATAACAGAGATGCGTGCGCTCTGATTGGTCGAGGATTGCGTCACATCTCGCCAGAATTTTAAAATGGCTGACTCGCGTTTTGTCAGTGTTA